CATCTCCATGCTAAATATTAATGTAGTAAAGCAAGTCTGAAAACTCGGGTTCCATTAGACTGACCTGAGCCTCCCACTGCCTTCATTCATCCTTGGCTCACTCCAGATTAGCCAGGAGGTAAAAAGTGCCAACTCACAGAAGCTTGTACTAAAGCACAAAGGGTTTCTCCCTAGCTGAGATGCACAATGAAAAAAAATGAAAAAAAAGGGGGCACTTTTGGGTTTGATTTGCATATTTTGATTGTCTGTAGCGCTCAAGTGTTGTGACAAAAATTGCAGAGGTTCCACCTCTCAGTAATAAACTGTTACTCAAAAATATTCCCTGAAACCAAATGAAATCAAAGATCAACAAAAATACTTTCAGAAACCATTGCAGACATAAGGGGTACACATAAAAGGCGTAGTTCACCCAAAAACTATCCCAATAATTTACTCAACCTCAAGCCATTCTATGTGTATGAGACTTTCTTCTTTCAGCCGAACACAGAGTTATATTAAATAATATCCTGGCTCTTCCCAGCATTGAAATGACAGTTTTAGAAGCTCCAAAAAAGCACATCCATAATAAAAATTGTAATACATACGACTCCAGTGGGTTTATAAATGCCTTCTGAAAGCCATGGGTTTTAGTAAGAAATTTTTTTAAATAGAAAATTTAAAACTTAACATATTTAATACTTTATAAACTATAATCACTGGCTTTCGGCAACGGCTGTACACGCGTTCAAAAGAGAGTCGAGTTCTGGCGGAATGGTGACCTCTGATGACGTAGAACAAAGCTTTCATGGAAGAACTTTTAATTCATGACCAGGGTTTTGTTTTGCTCTGTCCTCTGCACCTCCGTGTTAGTCAATTCTCACCTAAGCTTATGCTACACCTACGTCATATGTCAAGTCAGGGGTCACCCTTTCTCCAGAACTCAACTCTCTCATGAACAGAAGTACAATTACTTTTATGATGGATGGGTGCGCTTTTTGGAGCTTCAAAAAATCAGGCACTATTCAATGCCATTACAAAGCTGAGATGAGCGAGGATATTATTTGATATATCTCTAATTGTGTTCAACTGAAAGATGAAAGTCATATACACCTAGGATGTCTTGAGGCTGAGTAAATTATGGGATAAATTTCATTTTTGGATAAACTATTCCTTTAACCACTGCAAAAGCATTTTTCTCATGTGACAGACATATAAAAATGGGTGTATTCTGACTGAATAAATTAGTGAGAAATCTGTGCAAATATGTCGTCATGTTACAGTTGATGTTTTACCAGAACCTGACTGTTTTGGAGGTCTCTTAATAATATAAAAAGGACTTTGTTCCCATCTTTTCTCCAAGTATTATAGACCTCCTCTGTCCAGACACACATGGATGACACGTGGAGGTGAGCTGCATTCACCCACAGTGCAAATTTATCGAGCTTAAATGTCACTAGCAGACGGCTGCCCTTCTCAACCCCTGCGGAACCCTGTCACGAGTGTTGTAAAGCACACAAGAGCCTGGGGAGGCTATTAGAGCTGAAATCAACCCCCCGGTGACGGAATTATGCCCTAATAATACCAGAAAAGGCAGGAACAAGCAGACAAATGAGTGACCGTGGGAGCGGCGGACAAGCTCAGTGATGTTTTGAACAATGATGAGGATGATGATCTAAGGGAGGATCGTAATCAGTGGTGGGTTTGTCCCAGTTTTCGAGAATCATGGGGCGGCCCGCCAGAGCCTGGCTGAAGTAGACCAAACTCAGATGAGATGACAAAGCCTTATTTCTCAACAGAAAGCGGACTTCTCTTCAGATTTGCCGCTTCATAATTAGCGTGTTGTAATTACAAGGCGGCTCTTTTAATAGCCTGTGTTGTGAAATGCGTGAATGCGGGTAGGCTCAGTGAACACTGGGTCATAAACCGCTCTCTAATCAGCAGCCATAACTCTGTTGCCCGGCAACCAGAAGTGCTCGAAAAACTCCATGCAGAAACTGTTTACATTTCAGAGCAGTGTTAGCGGTGACTGCACATGATGCTTTGAGGAACTTCTAAATGGATTCCCTCAATCTACAGGGAAGCTGTGTTAAAAATAAAAATGTGAAATGAAAGCGCAGAGGGGGATCATGGGACCCTTTTTCTGCATGCAAGTAAACAAATATAATGTAAGACTCTTTGGTTTTAGTGAAGGTTTACTAAGACGTCTCTGCTAATCAACAATGAAATTAGTGTGAAGAGATCCAAACCTAGTCTTGCGTGATGAGACTTTAGATTATAAAGTCTAGTTCCATACTGCGGCGTATTCTGGCCTCAAATGGCCCACTTAAGGGGGTCGCACACCGAACGAGAAGCGCAGCGCCATGTCTTTAAAATTCGAACACATTATTCTCTATGAGTGTACACACACCGGCGCGCCATTCGGCGTCTGTCCGCGGCACCCAGCTACGGCTCAGGACCTTGTTCAAAACCCTGCTGTGCCACAGAGGGCCAGTTACTAGTTGTATATTAAATTTACATTTATTTGTCTCAAATCGTCGTTAATGTACATACTGACCCTGTGTTGCAATATACATTTAGTTTTACATTCATTTACAGAAATCAGCAGCTAGAATTCAAATTGCTTATGTTCGCAGATTTTCAGGTGATATTCTCATAGCGAACGCTCTGAGGTAAAGTGTGTTCAGACTGAAGACATAGCAACGATTGTATTAAACTGTTCAGTACAATCATAACATAGCACAGACATTATCTTAATTCCATATTATTCCATATTAATTCCAACAATATTGCTGGCCATAAACTGAGAAAGTGCGCGTCCGGTGTGCGATACCTCGAGTTGTCCTAGACGCGATGCGACGCGGCGCTTCTCGTCCGGTGTGCGACCCCCACACGATGTAATATAACTATTGGATCTTTCAATGATTCTGTGCCAAAGTCCAACAATGAAAAAGAAAAAGAGAGAACACTTTAATGAAACCTCACTCATTTACTTTCTGAACTGGACACCTAAGACGGCAAACATCTAACACTAACCCATCCATCAACAACAAAAAAAGTAAACAAAAAAACTTTAACACCTGGCTGTGGAGGAGGAGGTCATCAAGATAAAAGAAATGCTGCCCTCAGCTTTCCTTTTCTTCTTCCACTGGTCCTGAAGGGTTAATTATCTCCATTATTCAGTGGGGCCTGGGAAATTCAAGAATGGATTGGGACAGATCCGACAATCAGCATCTGAAGTCTTTGAGAACAATGCATCTGTCCAGTTCATGGGTGGCAACTGTGTTTTCTCTCAAACACATTCACATCAGGGTGGCCTTGTACTGGCGGCCCCCTCCAGACAAACACAGGGCCAGAGAGCAGGAGACTGGGGCACAAACAAACCAAACTTGTCGTCTTTGATTCACTGCCAGTGAGTCAATCCAACCCACTGGGAAAGCGACAGCACAGGAAATAAGGGTCAAACTGTGCTTTCCTCAAGGTGTCCGTGCAAAACATGCCATGCTTTGTTTACAGCGAGGTGACACTGTGGCAGAGAGGTGTGCAAGGGAGTGTGCATATGAGAGTGCCTGTGTGTATATCCAAGGGAGTGTAAACAAGCCAGATTGACTTTTTAAGCCAGACATATGTTCAGGGAAGATCTATGTATGCACATTTCATATTGGTCGCCATTTTCACGGGGGCTGGAAGCAGATAACACTGCCTTTGAAAGAAAGATGTGGCTATGTGTTTTGGGACTTTGTGCAATATTTTGTAGAGGCGAGAGTTAGGTTAGAGATACGTGAGATGAAAAAAATTATAGATTTGACAAGGAAGACAGAAACAGGCTCTTCATCGCCTTGGGCCGTAGATCATTTTGCTATCAGCACGACGCCACTCTCTCTCACCAAATGAGGGATAGAGGACAGAAGAAAGAGGTGCTTGGAGTTTTGTTTGTCCACCAGAGCTTTTGCTTTCCATGGACTGTTTCGGCCATAATGAAAATGAAGAGAGAGATTGAGATCAGGGATGAAGAGGGTTTCATCAATCAAAGCTTAGTGGGGAGAAGAGAACAAAACTGATAGTGCCAAAGACATAGCCCTGTGGCACCCCCTGAGCTACATACTCAATCCTGTGCCTTTTGTCCAGCTCCCACTGTTATTCAATGTCTGGTGTCCATTTGTTCTACCTGAACTAATGCAACATGACAACAGATTTGTGTAATCTCTTTGTTCACATATACACTGGATGACAGGCTCTGGCCACAGCTCTAGGAGCTCAAGGCATGCTGGGCAGAAAATAGATGATATTTATTACCAGAGTGGAGCTGGAAGATATCTGGAATAATAAGCAATGAATCTCTTTGCTAGCCAGATGCAGGATACATATGAATTTCTGATCGTGACTGAGTGAAGACTCCATTCCAAAACCTAGTGGGCGGCCTTGCTTTGTACTGTCTACATAGGCAGATACCCCTCTACGGCAACATCCTTAATGAAATGGAAACTCGATTCCAACAGGATCGGTTGTTAGCATGTTGCTAATCTAACATATGATACTATAAACATAGGAGAAAAATGCAGCACATGAATATTGGGTAAAATACTCAATATTCAATTAGATTTATCATTATCAATATCTTTCAGTCTTTGAAAATAAATATATTTATAACTATTTAGTCTTGTCCACAACTGTGCTTTTTGCAATGCATTCTGGGATTGCCCTCAATGACAAAATCTTGATTTTAACCTTTCTGATGTTAAAGTAGATAGTTGCTGAATGTGTAAGCCTTTTGTTTAAGAATATAAATAGCTGACTGGAGTGTTGCCAAAATGGCTGTAGTGTGAACTGGTTTGCCTTAAAAGGGTTCTGGTTCTGGCCAAAAGAAGGTATCTTAAAAGACAACATAACACTGCTGTCTGCCTACTGTGTTTGCACAGGTTGTATGCCAGAAGAGCGCCAATGATGCTTTAAAACGCTGCTTAGGTGGTTTTGGAACAGAGCCCGAGTCTGCAAGAGAGATGCTGGAATTCCACCAAACTCACCTTCTCTTTCCTCTGTCTGGCGGGTTCCTCCACAGATATCAGACTCTTGTAGTAGGAGCTTCTCTCAGCAGTGAAGTGGACCTTAGACAGGGCGTTCTCCACCAGAGCCACGGAGAGATTCACTCCCTCGATATGAAGCCAGCCAATAAAGTTCCCTGCTTTATCCATGCTCTCCACCTCCACTTCCACCTAGGAGAAAGAGAGAAAGACAAAAAGGCAAAAGAGTGAGTTAATGTACTGTATCTGGGATTAGCTGAGATTCCATTACTGTGGCGGCAGAGAAATAGACTTTGTCTTAAATAGACAGAACACTGGAGGAGACCGAGCTATCTATTGATCGTCCAGACGGCTCGTTCTTCAGGCAACTCAGGGGGCCTTCAGCATACCCCCACTCATCTCATACACACACACACACACTTCCTGTCACTGACATCACTGCTGGGCACGTCTTTCTCGCACAATTAAACGTGAGGTCGAGATTCAGCCTGGCGCTAACTTTAGCCTGACATTCTCAATTAAAGCGGTGACACCAGGGAACACGCACCACTAATATATTACATTTGTCTCCGAGCACTGAGGCTGTTTATTGGCTAGTGATCAAAGACAGCAGGAAAGGACAAAAAGAGTGCATTTCAAAGAAAGACAGAATGAAAGAGAGAAGGAAAGATTAAATATTAACCAATTACTAAGTGAAAGTATGCAAGGATGAATTCTCTGACTGTTTTTTCACACCTGAAAACAAGAAAATTACGCACTGTATGACGCATCAAGATTTTGGTGACATCTCAGAAAATCTAAAAGCTCTAATCAAAGCAACCTAGTGACAATGTCGTGTTAATTACAATGATCATAGTGAACTCGATTGCTTAAGAAAACTAGATCTTTGCATTTTCTTGTGAGTGGTTGCAAAGCAGTTGCTAAGGTGTTAAGAATAATTTTTTGTGTAACTATGCAATGGTTGCCAAGTGTTGCATAGTGGTTGCTAGGGTGTTCTGAATGCCATCTTGTGTGTTAGTATGCAGTCGCTAGGGTGTTTTGGGTGGTTTCTAAGCATTGCTAGGTGGCTGCTAATGTGTTCTGAGAGTTTTCAAAACATTACCACGCTGTTATCATGGCAATTTGGATGGTTTCTAAGTGTTTCTAGGTGGGTGCTATGTCTCTGATTCCTAGATGTTTCCACTGTTTTAATATCCGATACGATCAGATACCTTCCAGCAAACCTAATGAAAAGCTTAGGGATGACTTATGCACCAAACTTCAATACTAAAATTTACAGGCTGCCTTAGCAAGCACCACTGAAAATGTGCGCCCCCAAATAATCGGCCTCAACTATTGCGATCCATCAGAAAAGCAACATCCACATTGTGTAAGTGTGTGTTGCTGAAATAGGTTTGTGAGAAACAGGCAGGTGTTGTGAAAAGACACTCCAAGAGTCAAACGATTAAGAGTGCGGTTGTTCAGCCAGGAAGTCCCTTGGGAAATCTGCTGGGAATTACTTTGGAGGCAGAGGCTGCATACGCAGGGAGAGTAAAAGCTTTTTAATGAGGGCATAATCGGCACTTTGATTAAACACAAGAATGACAACCAACCTCACATTATGGGGACAAACAACTAGCCTCCCACTCCGGCCCTGGTTGGCGGCAAACTAATGCTCTACACGCAAAAGGTAATGGCTCCAGCCGGGTTCACGCTCAGAATGTTCCGGTAATCTGGGTTGGCCTTAGCCAGAGGGCTAAATGTATTTGGTCTAGCACAGCCAGCTTTACGCACCCAGTGTACTTTGCTGTTAGAACAGAGTGCAGAGTTAATCAGAGTGAACCAGTCTAGTAAACAGGTTTTCATTAGTAATGATCTGATGATGTTAAACCAGAGTTTTTTAATTAAATGATGCTGGTTTATAGTGGGGGGCTGCCAGGGAGTTGCTCTGGATTTGCTGAGGTGCTCGGGGTAGTTTTAGCATGTTTCTGTGAGGTTGAGAGCATGGTTTTTGGTGGCTGCTAAGTGGATAGTTACTGTTAAATGCACCCACCATCAAATTCCAATTACATTTGGTCCATAACATACATGCTTTAGATTTCAGACACTGTTTTGCACAGAAGATGAGTCTCTCAGATAGAGATCATAGACTGGCCAGCTCTCTGCTAGCCTCCTGCGTTATATAATCAAGTCTTTAGATGGGAGCGCTGTCTTCCTCAATGTCAGACAAGGTTGGTTTTAGACATGCTTTGGCAGCACATGCTGCAGGATAGTCCACAATTCTCTCTTTAGTGAGTCCGTTTCATCTGTCCACCAGCTCTAATGCATCCTAGTCATCAACATCACATGATGCTTTATTCCCATGAAAGTGAAACGTTCAGAGACCCATGAAAAAAAAATTCACAATGCGTTTTTTTGTATCATAAAATGTTTTAGGAAGTGATTAATAATAAAAACCTTTAATAAAAAAAGTATATAGACAACTGAATATGCCTTTCTCTTAAATAAACTCCACCATCCCGTATCCGGGATAAAAAAAAACTTTGTTATGATGTTCGTACGTTCTTTTTATAGACTTCCCTATAAGGCATGGTATCATTCATGGTATCATTTGAAAGCTTAGAATCTAAACTTTACAAAGAACACCATCACTTTCGTTTTTATGATATATATAAAATGAAATATTAGCTTAAATATGCATTGGTCCCAGGCAAAAAATTCCACTTTATGATTGCGAATAAATCTTTCTACAAATATTTATTTTTCATTTATTTCACAAAACAGTCAAATTATATATAACAAGAAAGCTCATTCTAAGGAATTTGTCGTTGTAGGTTATTACATTGTGAGACAATCATAGATCGAAATATCCTCAAAAGAATCGCGCAGTGAAATACAATAAAACAGAAATGACAGATTCAAGTATCACATTCCTGCTCCGATGTCGGCTTCAGTCAGCCGCAAACAGCCACATAATCTATATCACCTTTTAGCTTAGGATGTTATCTTTCAAATGAGACCATTTTCACGTTTCTGTGAGCTTTCGTTGGTGCGAAAACCCTTTTCGAACGAACTGAGTGGAGGCGCGCTCTGAGCGCGCAAGACACAGGATCTCCAAGTCATCCGTTGACGCGCGCGAGTCTACTTGTGCAACTGCAAAGGCACATCCAAATACTACATATATCTAACCGGAACTCGCGTCAGAAAGGAGACGGACCTTTCGCCGGAGCCGGAACTGCCTGAATGACGGGAATCCCACTGACGCGCTGCTCGCCTTGGAGAGACCTTAACACTTCCGGGTTACGGCGAGATCTTTGTTTACTGATATATCTGCAAGTTAGCGTGTGTTTTTATAGTTTGTGAACTGTTTTGATTTCTATAATTGCATATAGAAAGATAAAAGCATTGATCAAAACGATCTTTGTAAGTGCAACCGGTTTCTAAATTTGGAGAAATTTGGAGTGGCCATGCAAGACGTTTGGGTACGTACTGTATAACTTTGTTTTTTCAGCATTTACAATGTTTATATACATTTTTGATAAAGTTATTGTTAGTTTGAAATGTGAAAGCACAGCAACCAATCTGATAAACTATTATTTGAAAATAATTGTCAAACGTTTTGGATATTGAAACGAAAGTATGATTGCGCAATAGTTTCCAACTTTGCATAAGTTGAATAAAATGGCCATTTCAGTAAATCTACATTTTGATATTGTGAAATGGATATTATTACAGTGCAGAAACTATGTATAAACAGTGATTTCTTTGTTTCAGGTTCTGTTGAAGATTGAAGATGTGGCACTGTTGGCACAGTGTTGGCACAGCTGGCATCACATCTCCAGGAGGCTGGCCGGTGATGTTGAGGTGATGCACAACACAGGTGACAAAACTGATGCCCATATAATGAATGATATAAATATGGAGGATGAGGATCCTGTTCTAGATTGTAATAGACCACAGATTTTAGGCAAACAATGTGTCAAATGATAAGTCTTGTATCTTCTGAAAGAATAAAATGATCAAAATCATAAAGCGTCTATTTTTTTCTTTTTGTTTACTATAGCACAGACAACATATACTATAATATTTATCACATTCAGCAGTGTTTTATATAATTTCAAAGGGTTTTCTGTCAAATTACACTGGAATATTGCATATGGACCACTGGGTGTGGCTATGAGCAGAGTTTAGATTTGGGTAGGTGGAAATTACATTAAAAAAAGGTAATATTCCTCCCTTCAGATTTATTTGAATATCTTTTTCATTTTTTATTATAGAGAAAAAATTATTTTTTCCAGTGTTTGTTGTCATCTAGGGGAAATAGCCATACTTGTCTGCAGGTAGCTAGACCCCACAGGGCCTGAGTTATACACTTTCAAAAATGAATTTAAATTAAAAAAATTTAAAAGCCATCTTTTTTGTGTTTATTAAAGCTCAGACAACATATACTTAAATGTTTATCACTTTTAGCACCGTTTTATGAAAGTGCAAAGGGTTTACTGTAAAATGACACCAAAACTGTGTATTTAGGCCAAAGTATGTGGGAATGGGAAGCTTTTTAATTTGGGTAGGCCAAATCCAGGCGGAAATCTCCCAAAATGGCAAGGATTGTAAGAGGTTAAAATTGAAAATTTCAGGGCATGCAAGCATTTTTTCAAAATGTCAAACACTTACTATAATAATAATAGATCACAATAAATAAATTTGTTACAAAAGTGTTATGCATTGTCACATAGCTGGTGCCTTTTGGTGTGACTTTAACAAGCTGTGGAAGTTAATACACATTTCCCCCACCAAAACTGTTGTGATGCATTTCAGAGTGTCAGCTACTGTTATGTGTTATCACCCATAAAATTAGGTAATATTAATAGCCTTTACACAAATGTTGCAATTATGCTACACTGCGTCTCTGAGGCTTAAAGTTCTTTGTGAGGCAGAGAGTGAGTAAGAGAGAAAAGCATATGGTCTTTATCTTGGCAAATAGATTTAAAATCTCCAGCTTATTCAAATACAAGGTCAAACTCAACGCACTCGCCTGCAATTCGGAGAAAACGCCAAATGTTTCATGTAAGCTTTAATAAAGCAATATACAATTACATGAGATTAATCTGAATGGCCCCAAAACCAAAAGATTAATATCTTTGCGGTATTCTTTCCTGGCACAACACCATGACTCATACACACAAAGACAACATGGATAAACAGAGAAAAAT